CCAATGCTTTTAGTTCATCAGAAAAAAAAGTAATTTAGTGCCAAGTAACTTCAATAATTTTTTGACTTATTTTTTTTGACAAGATAGACTTACCCTGATGTCAAGCAAAAAGTAAAATGAAAAGCTAAACAAGAATTCTTGCTGACAAGAAGATAAAGTGTTTGCTAAAAACTCTGAACTTATAACTAGAACTTACTACTATCAAAACTAGAAATAAAAAATAATAATAACCTTGTCTGATGCAGAGAAAGCGCCAGAAGACCAATGGTCAGATATTCAACATATCTGACCGGAATTTTTTATCGGTTATATTATGATTCGAAAGAACAGAATTCTAAGGCAAAAAGTTGACAAAAAAAACGAGTAGATAGGTATTGAAATGATGATATACAGACTAATGTTGAAATTTGAAAATTGTGAAACTGTGTGATTTGAGTTTTTACTATAACAGTACCGCCAGTTCGGTTGAATTTGAAAACCGCCAATTCAAAGTTTCCTCCATGCCGGTTTTCCAGAAAACATCTGAGATTTACCATTTTAATTTTAGTAGGTGAGGCAATTTAAATTGTTTCTTCACAGTCAATCTGATATCGAACTGAGGCAATGAATATTTTCCTAATTGATTTGGTTGTTTAGTTTTTTGTCAGTTTTCGCGTTGAACTGTATTGCTACTTGCCTTTTATAAATTATTTTGACAAAATCATTCTGAGAAATAGTGTTTCTGCTTAATTCAACAAAAATTTTCAAGTTGAACTGAGGAAAGCCACGTGGCCAAATTGTTTTTTTTTTTGAAATCAAACCTTTTTTTTTCATATATATATAATCAGAGATGAAAATCAATAGCACTGCAGAGATGATACTACACGTTTTACAGTTTCACTGAAATAAAATTGTCTTTTCATTGTATGATTCGATGCAGTCTTCTTAAAGTTTGATTACGATATTTAATACGGGTGCCGGACATCAAGCCGACGGGACTTCAAGCCGAATCGTAAAATTAGGGACTTCAAGCCAAAAATTTGCTCATTAAGTCATGAAATAAGGTTAATTTGAAAACTTTTTTGAAGAATTTCTCAATTTCATGATCTTTTTTTGGTAATTATTAGTGTTTTCATAAAATTTAAGCCTCCAAATGATGTTTAGGAAAGTTGAAAATTAAAGCACGGTTGAAGGTAATTTTTCTTGTTTATAATTTATGCATTTCAAAAAACGGCTTATATAATTAACTAATGCCAATCCTAAATGATTCATTGTCATAAATAACGCTTATTATGGACTAAACTAGCCTAAGATTTTGAAAAGCGACGTTTAACAGATGAAAAAATAATGATTTGAGGTGCTTGTTAAGTTTAATTTTCGGCCTGAACTCCCTTCGGCTTGAAGTCTCGTCGGCTTGTTGTCCTAGACCCATTTAATACTGGTAACTTCGGTTGATCCGTAAATTTTCAAGTATAGTACTCCAGATTGTGAAACGGGTTTAACACAAATTTTATAAAATTGTATCGATCACCATCTTGTGCAAGTCGAAGCTGATTGATAGAAAATACAGCCGATGAATAAATGTGCTGTTGGAAGTATTCAATATTTTCCTTAGTATAACTACGTGACTGTTAAAAATTAAATTAGAGACAACTCTTGACAATTTAAATTGCTTCAAAAACAGAAAAACTTTTGAATTAGCGGTTGTAACGTAGAATTTACTCCTTTTAAAGAATAGGGCTTTCTGCGGTGAATAGGTTGCTAAAAAATCTGAATCAAAATCCGAAGTCAATTTTTGCGCAAGCAGAATATGGTTCAGTTTTAAGAAAAACAAAGAGCAGTAGTGACCGGGCTGAAAACTTTTATCTCAAGCATGTGTGTGGTTTGATCGCAAATGAATAGATCTAGTTGTTGGACTTTTTAGGCCAGTTTGCTTGCCTTTAAAGTTTTTGATACCATTTACTTAGACAATTGCACGCGTAAAATAAATATTTCCGTGAAATAGTGATCTATTTAGATTTTTTACTGTTGATTTTTTCTTTTTGTTTGGAAACTCTAATAAGAAGAATCAAAAGTCGTTGATCCAAAGTCGGTTCAAAATTGGATCAAAGAAGATCGCCCGAGATTCACTACTATCTACAATGCCGAAAAGGTTAATATGGTGTCAACTATTCTGTACTGCACTCTGTTGCTTGCCGCTTCTGTGTATTGCTCTTGAGGCTGTCTCGTCAAAAAAAATGTAATGACCTCCAATTGTAAATTACTTCAAACGATTTTTTACGTCAAGTTACAGAAGGCCCTGATTGACCACGATATAATCTATCAGTCCAACCGAAGGAAAAGAGCCTGCATTTTTAGCGCAATTGCTTGATTGCAATTTAACTTCCACTAATTTCACTAACACTAAACTATTCTCTCTCTCTAGAGAATCTCTGATGAGAACCAACTATTTACTGTTTCTGCTATAATTGTTCTCCTACTCCGAGAACTAACTACTCGATTCGCTAGCATTAATTGTTCTAACTCTTACAAGCTCTACGGTACCTTCAATTTCTTATTTTTATATACACTTAGTTTTAGTTAATTACGCCATTCCCTATCAGTCCTGACATCCGCTGAAATCACCCTTTAGATCATGTTTTAAGACTATATCCCTCCCCCTGTCAACTCTGCCACGTGCCAAGTTCGCTTTCTTTTATCAATCTTTTCAAGCTTATTAGATACCCGGTATGTGGTAGGTGTCACAATTTGACCAAAAAAACAAAATGTAATACAATTCTAATCAGCTAATTCCTGACCTCAGTGACTTCAGCTCTCGAGTTCAACTTAACCTCCAAACCATGCTATGTTTACTCAGTGACCCTCCCAAGATCTTTATTTTATTTATCCCGTTAACGTTCCGACCTCCAAAGGGTAAGGAGAGACCCTTTTCATGGGTACCTAAATCATTCCAATTATCTAAAATTTCGATCTGTACTCTATTCCAATCCCGACCTTCTAGCTATCAGGGTAAGGTATTTCGTCTATTAGGGGTCAAATTAAACCGAAAAGTCACCTCCGGGAAGCCAAGTAAAGTCCCCGTTCGTTCATGCTACTTAGGAGACCTATTTTTCATGCTGCGGTCCTATTACCATCAACTTCCTCTGGTACTACTTTTCTTTAGTCTAGTTGAATTGCTATCAATAGATCATTCGCCAAGCTAAACTGACCCAAATGTTTACAAAATCCACCAAGAATTAAAACTACTACCTCAACGTTGCATTGTAAAACTATTCCTCTATCAGCTTCTGCTCTAGTTTTAAATACATAAATTTCCTCCCAATTTTTTTTTAACAAGGAGACCCATTCTCATTTTCAGGGGTTGGGCTTGAGAATAAGCCATTTTCCGGTGATAATGTTGGGGTTTTCTATGCAATTTTGGGGTTAAGACGCTCAAAGATCAAGTTGAGGTTACCCAGGGGTCAAACGGGGTCAGACTTCCATATTTGGGTTCAAAATCCCATGGGGGTCCTAACTACCAAGTTCCATCCATATCCCATTAATACTTCACTAGTTATCCCATTACTAAGGTCCATCATCACTTTTTCCGGAAAAAGGCTATTAACACCGGAAGGAGTTGTCAGAGGGTTTTCACTCACAAGGGTTCTTTTTTCGGGGTTTGTATCTTATGTCGATTGCTGCAACAAAATCATTATAACACCATCCAATATTTTGCGTTAACTGCCTATTTCCGGTTTAAGAGGGTGTTTTTTCAAGTTGTAAGGGGGTGTTTTTTCAAGTTTTTTCAAGTTAGGGGTGGGTTTGTTTACCTAGGTCATAAAACCGGAAGTGGGCTTCATAGAGGCCTGGGGTTCCAAACTTAAGCTTCCCTCAACTAGGCCTATAACATATTAAAATTTGAGCCCAATACCGCCGCTAGTTTCCGAGTTCTGATAGGGCCATTTACACTTCCGGGGACCGTTATCAATTGCCCCCAAGGGTCTGAGGTGTCCTGTTTTTCGTATGCCCGGGTCAAATCATCTCTAGTATCACTCCTCTAAATTTCATAACATTAGCTTTCTTAGTTCCGATTTTTTTGGGGGGGGGGGGTTCGCCGATTTTTTCAAATTTAATTTTCTGGTATAGGAGGGACGATATCTTTGAAGAATGAACTATTTTGAACTCGACCCTTTGTTTTTGTTTGTTTGTCTTACTACTTAAGTTAATGACGAATCAATCTTACGCTCAGGCTACTATAGCATGTAATACAGTAGAATCACCAATTTTACACATCCAAAGTCAACCGTCTAGGGGCTTGTCCACGTACTCAAGGTCATCCTGGTTGCTCATTCTTATTATTCCAAGGTAGAGGGGTATGATGAATGGTTCCCCAGACAAATAACGTATGAACTAGAATTTCCGCATTTATCAAAAGAGCGCAAATTTTGAGCAGCTAACAAAAAAAGTGTTTCTGAAGCTTTTAGCATGCATATATTTTCCTTTTGCGCTCCAACTAATTCTAGGAACTCGCAACAAGCGTACTCCTGCTCCGTTCCAGTTTGATAGAACTAAAGTGACCAAAATTATAACTGATTCAGAAATAAAATAAGGAAAAAACTGTTTTAATTGTTTTAAGCGCACCTGTATGATCGTTTTTTCTGAAAACAGATTAATGTGATGTATCAAAACATCTTCCGATGAATCAAAGAAATTCTTACAAATATCACGAAAGATAGTCAGCTAGGTTGAAATCATGTGTTTCAGGTGGTTTTAAAAACTTTAGTTAAATTATTTGCAACGTTTTTATTTCTTACTTTTTAACAAAATGAGGTCATTAACTAAAACGAGTACTGAAGTTTTTGGTACAATTTGTATGGTTTCCAAAAAAAAGTTACACAGCTTGCGTATATGTATTTTAAGTCAAAAATTTATATAGAAATTTGACTCATATCAACGCTTATAAGCCATAAATTCAAACAAACAATCTTAGTAGACACGTTGATTAAGTTGGTCAAAATCGGCTCAGCCAAAAACTAACCAATTCAGATTCAACTCAAGTCGAAACATGAAAAACGTGTTTTAAACTTTTCGTCTTGTTTAAGCAAAGCTTTCGACCATATCTTACAAGTGCACCTTGTTCTAACCATTCTACGCACGTTTGAATTTAATTCATTTTTATACTTTTCAAGTAAATTTAACCATTTTGTTACTTAAAACCAGGCATATCTGTTTGTTTTCTTACTATACATACAATTAGTCTCACCCTGATCTTTTTTTAAATTACCTTTTTTCGACAAAATTCGTGAAAAAGTGGAATTATTAGTAGATTAGTAGCGAGTTATAATAGCGATTATGATTGGTCAAGCGTTAGTGAATGGGATATTCTGCTGTCTGCAGCTGTCAGCCGTCGTCTTTTGTTTTGTGGCCCTGTATACTAACCAGTGGATCAGGGAAGTCCAACCCAAAGATTCAAATGACAGGTAAAAATTGTTCCCCATCTTTTTCTTGAGTCTCTGACTATTCTCCCCATCGCTTTTGCAGGGTACAAATTTCAATTCTGCCAAATTGTTGAATCAGTTCCTAAAAGGGGTGGCAATTAAGGTAAAGCGAAAAAGGTTAGAGGGAACTAGTTGACGAAACATGCGTTGACAAAACATGGCAAAACAATTGTAGTTGAAATTGTTTATGGATCATGCAAATCCATACCACTATATTGAAAAAAAACCGCAGCATTTTTTCATAGAATTCTCTAATGGAATTGTACGGTTAGCTTTTTTTTGTGAGATCAAGCCAGGTTTCCAGAACAGTGTTTAGATCTGCTTAACAATCTCCCCCCCTTCTTGAAAGGGGGGGGGGGTGATTCTTTAGTAGGTACAATAGGGGGGGGGGTGATTCTTTAGTAGTTACAATAGGGGGGGGGGGTGATTCTTTAGTAGGTACAATATCGGGGTGGAGAGATTGTCAAGTAGATCCCAGTGTTTTTCTCATAGAATATAACGCTGTTTTTGTTTCGTTCAAACGCCGAAAGTTGATTGACCTCTGTATAGCCTCGTCCGCAAGCCGGTCAACCTTACTGCTACTCTTAAAGACAAAATGGTTGAGTAGCTCCAGAGCACCAGGCTCAGAATGACTGTGTTTCACCAGGCGCCCCTGAAAAGTTCATGTTTTTATTTTTAAAGGGTTTCGTTCTTTTTAGACTGCCGACTGACGTCAAAACTATAAGGAATGGAAACTGGCGCGAAAAAAGCTCTTGAGCATGGGCACAGAAATCGTTTAGGCAAACGCGTTTTTGTATATTATAGTGTGAAGTGGAGAAACAGTTAGGTCAACAAATGAAAACTCGAAAAAATGACCACTTTTTCTTATGTCCCTTTTTATAGGATTTTATTTGTAAGGTTAGAAAAGTACTTTTTGGGTACAATTTTTCTACGACGTTTTTACCCGTATAAAGAGTCGTCATGTAATCATTCTTTTCCAACTACTGTTCTGCAGGTATTTCGACAGAGTTGAAGCTTTACATAACCAGGCTATGCTCACTGGCCTAGAAGATGAAGTTTTGTCATCCATCGGACTGTTCAGGATCTGGGCTAGGGGTGACGAGTCATACCCACTTCCTATTGTGGGTAACTAACTCAAACTGCATTTTTTTACTTTTCAACCCCCCCCCCCTTTCTTCGTCTTCAGTCATCGAATTGTTGTTGAAATGAAATCAAGATTTGAAGTTTTTCTTTTAAGCTCCGTTAATCGGTAAGTTATACGCTAGAAAAAATAGTGCTCTCGTCAACAAATTGAAGATTTTATCATTAAACACATTGTTTGTAAGCGCAGAATGTTTTCAACTCATTTGGTAAAACCCACATTTTTTCGCAGAGCTTAGTTTTTTCCGCTAAAAGACTGCAATGAAAAAATCAGCAATGAAAATCAAAGAAAGGGATCCTTATCGCAATTACATGTTTGAATGAAACAAGAAAAACATTTTCGGTCTCAAAGAGTTATTTTATTTAATTTGTATAAAAATGATGCAAAAAAAACGAAGCAAGTTTTTAGTTTGTTGTTTCATCTTCTTATTTTTTGTTTGTGTGTAATTCATATTTTGTGTTAAACGTTAAATAAGCGCAACCAAACCAAACAGTTTTAAGTTTTTTTTTTCAAAATATGTTTGGCAACTTGGCACAGGTTTGGAAATATCATCTTTTTCCAAAATGCGATTTTTAAAATTTCCACCTCATTACCACTGCAATCCGACTCACTTTTCTTGTGTTGACTTAATATCAATTACTCCGGACGAGAACTAAATCGTCTTGTTTTTAAAAAAAAAGCTGAAAAAAAACAGCCAACTTGAGTAAAAAACATATGACCTTACTACAGAACTTATTAACGAAAAAGTATAGTCCCGCGGGTGCTAGGGATTTTAGCAGACCGGTTTTTTGGCAGACTCAGAACAATTATAAAGTGTGATAGCTAACTTCAAACGCGGCATTGGCGATTAGCGACCGCTTGACTCGCTGCGCTTAGATGGGGGCGTTCAACGGTGCCGAAGTACAACAGTGCCGAAAAAGGCGGGAAAATTTCAGAATAATTTACACGCATTTTCTAAAGAGCGGGAAATTTCTGGCGCTAATTAACAAAGAAAATCACTCCAATTTTGGCGCCAAAATGTCTGCAACATCAAATTAAAGAATTATGTTGGCGCCAAAACGTCTAAATGGCAAGCTTTCCCTCCCAAAATCTTTAATTGCCAATTAAGATTGTAAACAATCTCTGTTTAATTTTTGATTGCCGCACTTAATATGTTGAAATTTGTTCAAATTTTTGGCACTGTTGAACACAGTTTTCATTTTCGGCACTGTTGTACTTCGGCATCGGCACTGTTGAACTGCCCCGCATCGGTTCAACGCAAAGATTATCTGTTTATTTAGACTGTTGTGTTTTTGAAGTGGATATTTTTGTTGACAAATCGTGAGATAATTGACTTAATTGGGGAAGCTTGGCCCCAAACTGAACGTCTTTTTGAGTCTGTCAAACAATCGGGGGAAGGGGGGGGGTTTCAACAGTGCCGAAAAAGGCGGGAAAATTTCAGAAAATTTGCAATTTAAACGTTTTCGCGCCAAAATAATTGTTTAATTTGCTGTTGCAGACATTTTGGCGCCAAAATTGGAGTGATTTTCTTTGATAATTAGCGTCAGTAATTTCCCGCTCTTTGGAAAATGCGAGTAAGTTACTCGCATTTTCCAAAGAGCGGGAAATTACTGACGCTAATTACTAAAGAAAATCACTCCAATTTCGGCGCCAAAATGTCTGCAACAGCAGATTGAACAATTATTTTGGCGCCAAAACGTTTAAATTGCAAATATTATCTCCCAAAATGTTTAATTACCACTTAAGATTGTAAACGATTAATGTTTTATTTTTGATTGCCGCACTTATTATGTTGAAATTTGTTCAAATTTTCGGCACTGTTGAACAAAGTTTTCATTTTCGGCACTGTTGAACAAAGTTTTCATTTTCGACACTGTTGTACTTCGGCACTGTTGTACTGCCCCCAAACAACCATGCATCACTTTATTAGCTTGGTCTGCCAAAAGACATTTTTCATTTTTTATGCTAAAGATTGGTCTGCTAAACGATCGATCCCCAGCCCCGCCGCACTGTTTGTTGTGTTCTGATGAGGGTTGGTGTTATAGTCTACAAGGGTAGGGGGCTTTAATAAGAAAGACCAAAGATGTCTTTTTGATGTGAACTTGACGCCTTTAAAAGAGACTTCATCATTTATTTTTTCTCTAGTCCCAAAATGTACAAACTTTCAAACAAATAGTTTTAAAAAGCGCTATGTCAAATTTTAAGAAAATTGCGAAACTTCGCAGATTTCGTCACTGAGGAGTTCTTTCTCATTATTGTCTTAGCCTCATAGACAGGGGCGGATTTAGGGGGGGCGGGGGGGATCGTACGCCGCCTTCAGGGATTCGACCCCCTGCCGACCCAAAGGGTCCCCCCTTTGATACTTTTTCAGAAATCCAGTTTTGGCCGACTGACCCTAAAATTTTTCTAAAGGCGCCTTTGGCGACAATATATACTAACTTTGAGGGGGAGCGCGCGCCAAAAAAAAACGCGATTTTTTTGTCAAAATTTTCAAAAAGTGCCCAAAAATTTTGCGAAAATAGGGGCAAAACAGTGCGAAAAATCAATTTGGTCGACCTAAAAAAAACAAAAAAAGGTCGTCAAAATTTTGGAAATTTTTTGAAAATCCCCCCCCCCTCGAGAAAATCCTAGATCCGCCCCTGCTCATAGAGATTACAAATTACAAATTTATATTTGTTCACATTGTTTTGTTGCAAAATAAGAATACAAACTTAGCAGGCCTCCGCAAAATACTTTTAGTCTTGATATTTCACCTTGTAAAATCAGCATAAAATTGATGCTTATATTAGGTGGGCTGGAAAAGGAAAAGAGAAGGTTATTGTTTGTTTGTTTTTGTTTGCTTCCCGGGATGACCTCCATAGACCGAAATTGCTAATCATACAATTTCATACACTTAGTCTATGGAAAAATGCTAATCATAAAATTTTCATACATTTTTGCAAAATGAGTTTAATCGAATTTCAAAGGTATTTTATTGTTGTTTTGGTATCGAAATTAGTATCTCTTCATTAAAAAAAGAAAAAAAATATCATATGAAAAAAATGCTAATCATACAATTTCCATATATGGAAATTGTATGATTAGCATTTTAAAAAAAAAAAAATTTTGTGAAAAAAACGCTTTGAACAATCAATTCGACTGCTGGCAAAGCATTTAAGCGTTTTTTGGGCTGCTACAACTGAAAACTTTGACTTTTTTTTATTTTTGTTTTTTGAAAAACAAACACTAGTCATACAATTTTCATATATGAAAATTGCATGACTAGCGTTTTTTTAGAAAAAAAACCAAATTTGAAAAAAGAGTCAAAAACTCCAGATCGTTGATAGGTAAATCAGCACATCAATTTTGAACTTGATGTGAACTGTTTGCAGTGACTCGTTTGTTTAAAATAGACTATAATTATTTGTTTGTTTATTTCAGACACGGAGGTGAAGCTTTGCAAGGTGTGTCTCTTCATGTGCATTCTGATTGGGTCTGCATGTCTCTACTCTGTCTTCTTCCAACTAATCAGCGACGTCTTCACAGAACACGTGGCCTACGAAATATTCATCGGATGGACTTGCGCATTCCAATGTACAAAACACATTCTACCTCATTATATTTTTACGTTGACGGAACTTTGAAAATTGAAAATGTTGAAACTTATAAAGGAACATATTTTGATAGCCAAAACTTCTTATAAAGGACTTCTAATTTAAAAGAACAAAGTTTGATAGAATCAAAACTTTTCAGAGAACCAAAAGAGACATTTAACCTTTCAAATAACAAAAATAAGCAAGATTGGCTTTTGTGGTAAGATTCAAAGAAACCTATCTAAGCTAAACCAATCGAATGGATAAAGTCCATTGTATTAAGTTTTTAACTGGACTTTTTTCCTGCTGTAGCTATTCTGACGCTAGCGGGAACGGCAACCGCTATGCGGTACTTCCAGAAGTCATTCAGCTACGAGACGAGTGGCCTCTCCCTTTTCATGGGTTGGATCGCCTTCTGCATCCAACTGATGCTCATCGTCTGTTGTCTCTTCAAAGTCCTCTTAACTCGCAACAAAGTGAAGGGAATCAGGGCGGAGGAAAAGCGACAGATGCAAGCCTTAACTTGGAACAGACCAAGACCGGTTGACGAAAAACGTAAGAGTTTCCCTTTATTCTTACAAATTTTTTTAACTAAAAGAGAATTGAAAGAACTAAAAAAAATGAAAAGAGGGAATGGGGAAGATTTAGGACTTAAATCTCAAAAATTCTGAAGCTCTGAGTCCACCCCTGTTTGTTAGTGCAAGCTATTTTCTCGCATTTCTTAAAATGTTTTGTTTTTAAAGCTGTTCACAAGCACAAAATAAAGTAAGATTAACAATTTTTCTGGATAATGGTTACGTTTAGTTTCATTATGCTTATCGGTGAGTTTAGTTTGTTTTGGAATTAAGTTTTTTCTATAAACCAAAGCTGACATTGCGCTTTAAATGATCGTTTTTACCCGCTTATTTCATATCACATATTCATAGTTTAATTGAAAAAAAAGTTATTTGGTTTGATTTTCTTTAGTGACTATGCGATCTGCAACATCTGAGAACAGATTGTACCAGCCAGCTCCCGCCCAAAACACCCCGCGATACGCAACTGCGGACCGAGGAGGCTTCCACCGCCCGGGTGTATACAGCCCGCAACAGTTCCGAGACGACTACCCCGCCCCGAGACGAGCCCACTCTTACGACAGCAAACAGTTCGACGGACACCAATCGCCACCGCCGATGACCGCTCGGAACGACCGAAAAGACTCGTACAGGTCCTATGATCAGGGTGATTTACCGAGATATCGCTAAGAATTACGCGAATAACACAACACGAGATCCAGCTAGTTCAAAAAACAATTTGTGAACGGTTTGGAAACAAGAATGGATCACAATAACTGATTTTCTACATTTGAATGACTGGGTATTAACGAACATTTGAAAATTTCATTATTTTTGTGTACATAAATAGAATTATTGATATCAACTGAGATAAGTTAACGATTTCCTTTTTTGTAATTTTATATCTAATAAGCTTTGAAAACTTGACTTAAATAACGAAGACTAATTCAAAGAGTTTCTTAAGAGAGATATTCAAATACTAGACAAAAAGGGCCCAAAAACTTTTAAAACTTTTCATTTCACATAATGATCAGATATTTTAAAACTCAAAAAACAATTTTCGGGAAGCCCTGATTATTTCGATTGCACTTTAAGGCCAAAAAAAGCTTTTTTTAAAAATTGGTAGTTACTAGAATTTTTTTTGGAACAGATAAAATGGAAGTGAATTTGTTTTTTTTTGTTATTTTCTTCGTTTATATCCACCCACGCTCTATTTAAAGTTAAAAAGAAAGCAAATAGTATCACGTATTCTAAAGTTATAACGAAAACATTTGCCTCAATGTTATTTGGAACGATTGAACCGGTCGCTTACCTTTGTTAAGAATAAGCAACATATAGCGCATTAATCATTTCAAATTGGCCAAGTTAGCAATTTATTGCACAAACAATTTCCATCAAAAATCACACAGAGTAGCAATCAGTGGATCAAGTTTATAGATGTCGAGTCTGGTTATTGTATGAATGCCAAGCTTCCCGAGTAACATTATAATTCTTACCATGGTTGTGCAAAATTTAGCAAATTAATTAGGTGTGATCTCAGTATTCGCTAATGAACTGAAGTGAATGCCAATTTTTGTCTTCACAACGATATTTGGATGCACTATTTCAAAAAGACCGTGGTATACTATTTCAAAGATTTCAGACGTGATGCATTTGTATGCCAAAATGTATTTTCTTATATTCCTCATTTGAAAGAAGCAGCAAGCATTGTAAACAAATAATCGCAAAAAAACAAGGGTTGAGTTTTTATTTAGTTAATCATATTTTATATTTCAAAAAATTAATTGTTTTTTACCAGCATCAGTAAAGAAGTTTCAATAAATAGTTCATAAAATAATTACATTTGATCGAAAGCTTCATAATATTATATTTTTTGGAAAACATTGGATAAAAATTCAATCAGATTAAAAATTTGAAAACAAAAATGTGTGGTCTAGCATTGTTTTGTTAGTAATTTAAATTCCAATACAGGCGGCTTTGCAACTAGGGGTTTCTATGTTTGGCTTGAAGTTGATTGAGCTCCAGTCGTGCAATGTGCGAGATTCTAGAGAGTTGCATATACTTTGTTAATTCATCGCCAAGAAAAAACTTTCCAAATTACTTTTGTGGTGGTGTGTACAGGTACTTAGTTTGGCGCAAAACAGCGGTCCACCTATGGTTATTAAAAATCAAATCAAATTCGCAGACCGAGTGTTTTATCCAATGATCTCATCAAAACTGAGAATGGACCTTTGATATGAAAAAAAAGGTGTGATAGTTCCGACTTTTTGAGAAAATATAGAATTTATATGCTTGGGGTGGTTTTTTGTTATTCAAATCAAATTTAGAAAGAAAACTTGATTATCGTGTATATTGATCTGGTAAAAGTTTGCCACGCGAGGGTGCTTGCCACAGCCCTAAATAATGCGGTTGCAGTTACTCGATTAAAACTAGATAGTCGTAATCCGCAAACTAACTACTTCCGACGAAGTGGCAAACTATCTTGCAATCATAATCGTTCCAAAACATTTGAGGCAAACTAATTGATCGTCTTATTTCGACTCATTTTTTTGCGCTTTATGTATGATATTTGCAGTCTGCATATATTATTTTTATTAAAACAAAATTTAACAAAATATAATTGGGACCGGTAAAGAGGCAGTCGAAACATGCACTGATGGATGATCAATTTTTTACTGTGAAAATATGATTGATGAAAGTACTCGTTATTAAACTGAGTAAATTGTTGGATACCGAGTGCCCGCTCCGTCAAAACTTTAGGATGCCATCAAAATTTTTCGATGAAGTACCTGATGTACCAACTTGATTCATTCCAGACATAATGCATTCAACTGCGAGAGAGTAATTTTCCACATATTTCAAACCACTTAAGTTTTGCGGTTACTTCTGAAAACAAGTATGAAAAACCAAAAGAGCAGACAACTAGAAACTTATAATTTCTTGTATCTATCTATTTTTTAGAATTATCAATTTTGAATTGTTTTAAAGACCAATCAGCCTACAAAACAGTTTTGACTCGTAAATTTTTCGAAAGTTTATCTACCTTTAGGACATTTGATTAAAAACTAATGATTTTTTTTTGATAACTTGCATTTTTGAAACTGAAATCCAAGTGGGTCTTTCGGGTATTGTGACATTTGATGTTATTTTGCAATGCAATTGGAAATTGAAAATACAAGAAATTAAAATGAAAACATATAAAAATGGACAGGGACAAATTTATTTGGAGCGTTAACATTTTGAAATAAATTTTGCAGAAGGAAAACAAGGAACCACACAATAGAAATAGTTCGAAATCGTTCATAGTCAATTTAATTGTTAAAAACAAGGAAGATATCCAAAAATTACTATTAATCACATCAATGACTACACTACATAGCTAAACTGTATAACTAATCACTGACTACATAGCTAGACGAAACGTATTATATTTCGCGTTCCTTATAATTTTATTTAAAAAAGGATTATTTCAGGGGAAAACGTAAAAACGTACAAAAATTGTCTGCAAAAAACAGGTTCGCAAAAAATCATTTTATTACTGTACCGCACAGGGTACTCTTGTTTGTAAAACAATGAGTAAAATGATGGATAAAACTCATTTTGAAAACTAAGTTTTAATTCTACTTCAATTCGAAAAAGATTCATGAATAACCAACAGAGCAGACAGTTGTATAAATTTTTTATCATTCTCATTTTTTAACCATCAAATGTTATGAAGCTCGATCGCGTGACAAAATAGGTTCAAAAGATTACTTTTAAAAAATATCTAGTTTCAGCAAACACGACATGAACAAAAGTGCTTTTTTTGCTGCAAAAATGAAATTTTAAAATCGTGTCATAGTTCAATTTTGATATTAACTCTGCTATACGTAAAGAGAATCACAGAAATTTTTTTTCTTCAAATTTTTACAAAAGATTGAGCTAACTGTAAGGTTTTTTCTATCATGTCAAATTTGGCTCTCTAACAAGGAAAGAACAATCGCGACAAAAAAAATACAGAAAATGGTTTTCTCTCAAAATATTGTCTAACAATATAAACCTTTTACAGATACAATCCTCATAACAAACATAACACGTAACATCATAGGAGTTCTGTTGTTACTAAATATATACCAACAACTCAAACGTTAAATAGTATTTAACAGTTTAAAGATAAAAACACCCCAAAAATTAATACTTCATCAACACTTTTTCGAATACTTCAAAAACAACCAGCATCTTTTCAAGATTTTCTCACATTTAAGATAAAAGAAGAAACCATGTAAAACCATTAACTGTTTACATGTATAAAATTTCAATATCTCGCATCCAACAGTGCATCAATGATCAAAATCCTTGAAGACTATACATGTCTGACCTTGCATTTCGTCTGATTCAAAAAAAATATTTTCGCGTAATAATATCATCAAATATTATGCATTAAAAATAAAGGTAACATCGAATAACACGTATACAACAAATCATTTTTTAAGGACTTCTAGGAGAATACTGTGAATCAAACATCACACTAGATCCGCTTACAAAAAGAGCATATAGAGTAAAAATTATATAAAGGCTTTTTCATATTTGTCAATAAACAAAATTATATGAAGTATTATGCATAAACAAAAAAAATCACATAAAAAGTTGATGCCACAAAAAAATGATGATAAAAAAATCTTACCCTGTTACATCTTCTTCCATCAAAACCAGTCACAAATTTTAAGAAACAATGCGCAACTAAAATAACGATAAACTTATAAGATGAAAAAAAAGACTTTCAGATATTTTTGATCAAAAGGAAATATTTTCAATAGTAATTCAAGACAAACAACCAAAATGCAAAAAAAAAAATTAAACCCAGTTATCGTATTGGCAAAAGGAGAGTCACTAAAGATAGTACTATACGCTAGATATCTAAACTCTTTCCTTGACGAATCCAATTGAAAGTGGTCAACTGAAACGATACAAGTAGTTTTCACAAAGTTTAATGGATAGTACTACAACACAGACGACATGAACAGCTCATATAATGAAAAACCTCTGAATGAACAACCGTTACGATTAACACAATTCGTCAAAAAGATCCTACCAGAATTTAATAGATTGTTTTATGGAATATCCATACGACCAGCCGTTTTTAGCCTTTATGAGTACAAACTTTCGACCATTAAATTTAAGTAAAAAGCAGTAACATATCTAGACGATGTTTTCATTCAATTTCAAACAAACGCAAACCAATAGAACAATAAACCAAACGCATCCACCAGTAGAACAATAATCAAACTACACGAAAAATTTATATGTATGACTTTGAATTCTGTCTGATTCATATTTTTTGTGTAACAATGTTAGCATTATCAAAATCAGATAAAACAATTAAGGATCAATATCTAATAACACGCTTACAACAATTCATCATACAAAATATCCCAATCTCATTAGGACTTCTAGGATACTCTCAATCAAATATCGTACTACATTCGCCTACAGAAACATACCATGAGTAAGTTAAATATTAAAACCTTTACAGGTTTGTCAGTCTACTTTAATAAACGAGTATTGGCTTAAGCAACCTTATCTATGACCAAAAATGGAAAATAGGTTGCTTTAATAAAAAGATCTTATTTCGAACCCATTTTTCAAATTCAAATTACGCAGCAGAAAAACAAAAACTTTAAGCTATGCTTTGCTTTCAACAGTCGCAGGTATATCAAAACGAATTTAAAAGAAAAGTTATTTTATGATTAAATTTATCGAAGGTATAAGCCACACAAAATTTCGATCAAGAAAAATTTGTAGTTAATCTTGAAAAAAATTAAGTTTTCCACCAGTAAATAAAGATCAAGAACCAAAATGCATTACAATTATAAACCTAGTTCTTATATTAGCAAAAAAGAGTCACTAAACATAGTAATCGACGCTATATATCTAACTTCAATCATTGGTAAACACATTTGT